TAGGCTCTAGGTTAGTTGCTCATCCTTTACAGGACGTTGCAGAACCAACCCCAACAACCCCTGACTGTTGTGTGGTTTTTCTTGGCAAATTTACGTCCAGTAGTTTGTCATTGCTTCTGGACGGTCGGCTTTCTTGATACTACTATCGAAACCAACACAAGGCGCATGGCCCGCAGCTGGAATCGAACCCGGCATCCCGGCGTTCGCATCGACTTAGCCACAGAGCCGGCAAGCGGCTCTACGGGGGGAATTAACTCTCTCCGGGGTGTGCAGCATAACGAGTTGGGAAAACTAGTAGCTTCTTTTTCTGTGTTCGCCAATGAAAGGGCTGTTGACACGATGTGTTGTGGTTGTAGAGCTAGACTGTAATATACGCGCCTTTCAGTCTAAAACATCATTTTTCACTAAAACCTTAATCAGTGATTTTACAGTGCAGACCTCACCGTTACTCAAGGGTTGATTCCTGTGCTAGGTAGTTTCAAAAATGACTGGTCACATGGCTTTTCAGACACAGGCACATAACTCGCACCATACCAGAGATAATGGCATCGCGGAGTAATATTCCCATAGTCTGTAGCAGACATCATGATGTATGGGCAACATATGGTCTCTTCAATACTGCCCAGGCTTTGTGATATGGAGAGGAGAAACTTTATCCCTGTTTTCAGGTGGCTGGCTCACACCTGGAGAATGGAGGGTGGCAGAATCCCTAAGGACATTCTCTATGGTGAATTACAGATGGGTAGAATATATTGAGGTCGACCGTTACTACGACATACAAATGTGTGCGAGGGGACATGAATGATACAGATAATGCGGTGGATTCGTGGGAATAAAATACCAAGGACCGTGTTGCGTCGAAAAAAAGGGGACAGGGTAATGGGGCAAATCAGGAAGGGAATAAGAATGAAGAAAGAAGTGTCTGTAGAAAGATGGCGAGCCTTTTGTTTGAATCTCCTTGTCTGTAGTGTCAGTGTTAGGTGCTGCATGGATCACATGTCACTTGTGTGTGTGTGTGTGTGAGAGAGAGAGAGAGAGAGAGAGAGAGAGAGAGAGAGAGAGAGAGAGAGAGAAAAGGGGGCGGGGCTTTCATATATAAATATGTATGGTGCGAAAGAGAGGGTAAAGGAGTAAGGGACATATATACATACACACACACACACACACACACATATATATATACAGTGGAACGTCGCTCAACGAGCATAATTCGTTCCAGAATTATCCTCGTTAAGCGAAACACTCGTTATGCGAAACAATTATTCTCATATAAATTAATGTAAAATACGATATTGCGTTTCATGTCGAAAAAATACTCACAAAATGCTATGTATAATGTTTATTCAAAGAAAATGATATACAAATTGTTAAGGAGAGTGAATCATCTTCATCTTTTCTTCGAGCGCGGAACGAATTCCCCTGGAATGCGAATAAGATTTGCAGAAAACAAAAAACTCGAAATAATTGTGATACATAGCTAATAATTTATTTTTTTTTAACAAGAAAGATGTCCATAAACATTTGTTTTTGTCGACTCTTCAAAATTTGGTGAAAATGCGACACAGCATTATCATTAAATACATTTGCAGCGCCCATAGCCACTTCCTTATTAGGGTGATGCTTCTCAATGTAAGATGCAATAGTTTCCCATGCTTTCAGCATTTATCTTTTTTTTTTCGCCAGAAGATTGTTGCCTTTCTGTTACCCCCTTCTGTGACAAACATTCCTACAAAACGTCTTGCTGTGAAACACAATGCAACTCCATAAGCTCTTCGATGGTCAGCTCTTGGCTGTGCTCTTCCACAAGCTTTTCGATATCACTGTTATCCACCAATCTCATGATAGTGGCTGAAGACACAAGCTCGTTGACTACAGGTTCCACAGGTACTGTCTCGAACCCCTCAAAGTCACAAAACGATACCGCTCTCCGGCCTAAGCTTCTTCCAAGCAGAAGTTAGGGTTTTCTTGGTAACCCCTTCCGTCGCCTTGTCGAGCATCTTGAGGCAGGCAATGATGTATATCCCAAAATATATATACCTGAAAATATCGAATATGCTTTAGTGTAGAGCTTATGAAGTTATAAATAATGTGTGTGTGTGTGGTGGGGGGCAGAAACTGTGTGTGATGTGGATGTCATCTTGTAGGCTTGATTGTATATATCACAATATGCAAGAGATGTGGCGTACGATGTGGAAGTGCTAGTTCGAGACTTCCCCTCTCCTCGCCACTCGTTATGCAAAATCGTTATCATTCTTTCACAATTTGTTTTGCTCGTTATGCGAATTACTCGTTATGAGAGGTGCTCGTTAAGCGAGGTTCTACTATATATATATATATACAAAGAGAGTGGCGTGAGTGAAGCGAGTTAGGGATGTATTACCGGATGGATGGACAGACGAATAGAGTGAGTGTGTGTATGTGAGAGAGAGAGAGTGAGAGAGATACCTTAAAGACAAGTTTTATTTGTAGAACATAATTCAGAAATTATAAATATTTCGACTGTCAAATCTATATCCTGAAAAACATCGTCTCTGATTAAATCGTAACTATTTTACTGTTATTTTCTTCAACAGACTTGCTAAGATTCTTCCTTGGACGACTTTTCATCGGCGCAATCCTATTGATTAAGTGGCATTGTAGGAATCTATTTAGAGCACTTTTCAGACACTGATCAAATTTGGCCATTTTCGACGGCTATGAAGATGCCAGTTTGGTAGTCCATCAATTTTGACATAGGAGATCTCGGCAGACGTGGCTACTGCCAATAAAATTTTCACCTTTGACCTTTATCTGACAGATTCTGGGTGGAGGGGCGTTTGGGGGTTCTGACAGGTTGAAATTATTGACTATAATAAAGTGAGAGTATATCATTTGCCAGTTTGCTGTTTGTGGGTTTGAAGTTTTCACTGTAGGGCGTCGAAATCTTGGTCAGAAGGGAAACAAAATTAAACTCTGGGGCAGGAAGAATTAGAATTGCAACATATGTTCCTCGGAGTAAGGATGTGAGAGGCAAGGAGAAACTGCCACACATTTAGACATATAACTTCATGGTAAAGAGTTAAAAGCTGAAATTAATTAGGGTGGCCAACAGCTATAAGAATGACATGTAAAATCCACTAATATAAGGCACTATGTTTTTAACATTGTATACTTATTGTACAGTATATATCGATACTATCCACTAGTAACCCAAAAGGTGGTAGAATAACAATGAAACAAACTGGACAAATAAATTAAAGTGGTTATTATACTTCTTCTTCTCTTCCACCATTTACCTTGTGTTTGGTGGTGGGGTGGGGGGGGGGGGGGAGAGTGTGTAAGAATCCTTTATGCGCTTTTTCTAATGCATTGTACAAGTTGATGTTCATTTCTATTAGGTTGCTTCTGATGGTGTCGTTCCATATCTTGCGTGGTCGTCCCCTTGCTCAGTGTTTATTATATTTCTATAGTGTGGCTCTCTGTCGCTGTTAGTACCAGGGCATTTTCGTCACGTGGCAAAATGTTACTATATGATGTATAAAATAGCACGCACGCGCGCACACACACACACATACACACACACACACACACACACACACACACACACACACACATACACACACACACACACGAACCATCACAAAAAAATTAGTGTCACTTTATATCCCCCTTTTAACCCACAATATTCAGAAGGATATTTGTCTGTAAAAATTTCTAGCTGACATAAAAATTAAGCGTAGAAACACTTCAACTTGTTCACTACCTAACAATGACTGTTCTCTTCTTGGCTGTCTCTGTCAGAATCCAGTGGCAGTGTTTTAGCTATTTTTGGAGGTTGATAACAACAAATCCTGGCTTCCCCGATAAAATCTGCTTTCTCTGCTTTCCTAGATCAAACTCTTCGCCGGAGCTGCGCTGTTCGTGCTTTGAGCGACGTTCTTGACAGGCGGCCAGCCGCTCCACGAGGGAGAGACAGAGCTATATTTGATAAAAACCGGGCATAATATAGTCAAAACTCTCGACTCTAACCTTTTAACCTGACCTAGCTCACAAAAGTGCTGCGGTTTTATTATGATTGCTGGTTAGTTCCACCTTAGTTTCCCCAGACCTCGTCCATATACACATTAGCTCACTTCTGATTGGTAGTCCCTGAGCCTCGTTTTTTTTCGCACACGGTTACGGGGGTGTTCCGCAATGCCGTTGATATCACCCGTTGTATATTTCAGCACGCCAGCGCTTTTAACACTCCAAAAACATAGAGAAACATTGTCTAACACTACCCCCTAGAGGGTGCTGCAGGCTCTGTCACATGCATTCTCTTTCTCAGAATGAAAACGTAAGTGCAAGAAATTGCAGAAACCAAACAACAGAGCTGGACACACCCGTAACCTTCATGAAAGTCCACCAGTCCAACGAACTTGTGAATAAAAATTGACCTATACTATTTGGGGAGACTAACGTTGAACTAACCCTGATTGCTTGATGGTACAAAACAAGTTTTTCCTTACAAAACAATTATTTTTTAAAAAATTATTAGGACTCTTATGTGCGCTGAGCATATGATGGTAGACTCATTTTTATGATTATTTTTTTTAAATATTATTTCAATACTCCGTTGATAAAGACTTTGATCTAAACGTTTGTTGTATTTGTGCGTGTCTTTTCCATTTCCTTCTCTGAGCTTTCTTTTTGCATTGTTTCATATTTTTTATTTAGCACTTCATGTTTGTATAGACCAACCGGTCTATTTATTTTATAACTGTATAATGTTGCTAATGTTTTTGTAAAGTAGTACAATAATATCTCCCTCCAGGGACAACTCAAGAAGCAACACTTCTGATTCTGGCCTCAGGGGACAAGAACCCTTACAGTGTCTTGTCCATTCCCTTGGTTGAACTTTCTAATAACATTCAAGATTGAATTTAGGACTTCATATTTATAAAGAACAAACTGTCTATTATTTTTAATAATGTCAAATGTTGTTAGTGTTCTATTAATTTAACAATACTGTGTCCCTCCAGGGACAACTCGAGATGCCCCACTTCTGATTCTGGCGTCAGGAAACAAGATCCTTACAGTGGCTATCAACAACTCCACCCAGCTGGAACCCCAGAACTCCAGAATTATCTACGAACATCCTGACAAAACTGTCAACATCATTGGTAAGATAGCTGTTTTAACTGGTAAAATAGCGGTTTTAGCTGGTAAAATAGCGGTTTTAACTGGTAAAATAGCGGTTTTAACTGGTAAAATAGCGGTTTTAACTGGTAAAATAGCTTTTATAACTGTAGTGTCTTTGCAAGTGTCCTTGCGTCAGCTGTAACGTTTGTGGTCAACAAAAAACTGTTGGTCACCGTGGTGTAACGGCTAGAGGTTCCGACTACCAGCCTGAAGCTCTTAAGTTCGAATCCGCGTTGTGTTTATTCTGTTTTCAGAAAAGACCTAGACTGCCAGGTTGACCCAGCCTGAAATGAGAGGCATGTGTGGAAAGTTCCCAAACAGGTTAAAGGTTAAAGGTGAGATAATGGACTTCGTTGCTCAGGGTTTTATCCCATATGGCTCGGTTTCTTTCTGCAAAACGGCTAACCTCCTGCCGAGAGCGTTACATAAAACACGAACTCCTTAGCTCCGACGATGACTCCAGGTTTCTCAGTAAAAAATGATCCCGTGAACCGAATGAATCCGCCGTGAAACGAACCTACTAGCAAAATGTATGACTGGAAGAAGTTAAGCCTCCACAAATGGGTACCAGTATAAAGGAAATATGGAAGTTAAACCATGATATTCTTAGAGCCCGTCTACAAGTGTTATAGGGAGGTTCTAAGAATATCATGGGTAAAGAAAAGAACAAATTCATCCATACTTCAAAAACTGAATATTGAAGCAGGCTGGCTATTAAAGACGATAAAACACAGAAAATTGAAATATTCTGGTCACTTGAAACGTCAGGAAAGTTTAGAGACAGCAATAATGGAGGGGTATTTGCCTTGGAAGAGAGAAAGAGAAAGGCCAAAGAAAAGATGGATGCAGAACATGGCGGATGATCTCCAGATGGGTGTTTAGGACGCGAGACATCTTGCTTGTGATCGAGAAGTTTTCTGAAGGGTTGTTATGGTAGCAAGGTTCTTCAAAGGACATGCTATTTGCTGACTGACTGGAGGTTGAACAGGGTACCAGGGATGTATCCTCTTAGTCCGTCTTCACTGATGCGTATGTTGAAATCACATGGGTGGCCAATCCTCATATAGAAACAGACAGATTCGACTATTTTGCAAGAGTACAAACGCAAATAAGACAAACCTCAAGCAAGCTGAAATGTTTAGGTACTTTGGTACTCTGATAACATCAGATGGAAGATGTATTAAAGAAGTTCAATGTAAATTAGCTCACGCAAAGGCAGTATTTTACAAAATTAGGAAAATTGTATTTAATCTTTTCTTTTTTTAATGTTAGACGACAAAGATCATTCTTGAAAGCTATATATATATATCCTATCTTCTTCTTCTTCTTCTTCTTCTTCTGCGTTCATCCGAAAATGTAATTGCGTTGTGTCCGTTTACAGCATTGCTGCGATATTTGCACCTTTCAGCCAACACATCCGACTTCTGCGGGTATTTGTTGACCGGGTTAGCCTTCCCGGGATATCCTATCTTAATATACGGAAGTGAATCATAGACAGTTGGTAGATCGGTGAAATATTATTAGAAACTGTGACAATGTTGTCAACTCCACTATATACAACTTGTACTGTTGTATGTGCGTCATCCAGTGACAACGTTGTCAACTCCACTATATACAACTTGTACTGTTGTATGTGCGTCATCCAGGGACAATGTTGTCAACTCCACTATATACAACTTGTACTGTTGTATGTGCGTCATCCAGGGACAATGTTGACAACTGCACTATATACAACTTGTACTGTTGTATGTGCGTCATCCAGGGACAACGTTGACAACTCCACTATATACAACTTGTACTGTTGTATGTGCGTCATCCAGGGACAATGTTGTCAACTCCACTATATACAACTTGTACTGTTGTATGTGCGTCATCCAGGGACAATGTTGACAACTGCACTATATACAACTTGTACTGTTGTATGTGCGTCATCCAGGGACAATGTTGACAACTGCACTATATACAACTTGTACTGTTGTATGTGCGTCATCCAGGGACAAATATGACAACTCCACTATATAGAACCTGTACTGTTGTATGTGCGTAACCAGGGACACTGTTGACAACTCTACTATATACAACTTGTACTGTTGTATGTGCGTCATCCAGGGACAATGTTGTCAACTCCACTATATACAACTTGTACTGTTGTATGTGCGTCATCCAGGGACAATGTTGTCAACTCCACTATATACAACTTGTACTGTTGTATGTGCGTCATCCAGGGACAATGTTGACAACTGCACTATATACAACTTGTACTGTTGTATGTGCGTCATCCAGGGACAACGTTGACAACTCCACTATATACAACTTGTACTGCTGTATGTGCGTCATCCAGGGACAATGTTGACAACTGCACTATATACAACTTGTACTGTTGTATGTGCGTCATCCAGGGACAATGTTGACAACTCCACTATATAGAACCTGTACTGTTGTATGTGCGTAACCAGGGACATGTTGACAACTCTACTATATACAACTTGTACTGTTGTATGTGTGTCATCCAGGGACAATGATTACAGCTCCACTATGTAAAACCTGTACTGTTGTATGTGCATAAACCAGGAACAATGATTACAGCTCCACTATGTAAAACCTGTACTGTTGTATGTGCATAAACCAGAGACAGTGTAAAACAAGGAAGGTGAGAGATATTCTGTTGATGAGGGAAAATTAATCGTGGACCGAAAGTGAACCATTGAGGTTTCACCATTAGTTTAGAGAAAAAAAAATGCCCGGCTCTCTAGCGAAGTTGGTTAAACCTGACGACTTTCGCGGCGGCCGGGTGACGAACTCCTTGTGGTCCGGGTTCACTCCCGGGGTTAGGCAGAAAAGCCACATTTCTCCCAGATTAACGGTACCTATAATGGAATCAAGGCCGAAGGGTTGCGATATCCATAGTACCGAGCCAAAGGGTTTACAACTCATTGTTTCTGGATACGTTAAAAAAAAAATAAAACAAATTTAAAAAAACTTTAAAAAATGGGAAATGCCGGAGATGTGGTTCCATAGACGAATGACAAGAATACACTAGACACACAAAGCTATCAATGATGATGTTTTGAAAGAACTGACTCACGGAGAGAACTGATTGTCCACATGAATTGGGCATTATGGCATAGAGGATCATCTACGAAACAGAGGGTGGTGGACAGATAGACGTGACTACCTCTAAAGGTAAAGGTAAAGTCCGGAGATGTGAACCAGCGTCATTGCACATGGTTATAAGCCATAAGTGCTTTGCCACAAGTACGAACAGCTGATAAGAAATTGTCCGCCTGTGTCGCCGTCCGCACGAAACTCTGTAGCTACAGCGACGTTTCAGAGTGTCACTTTGGTATCCATTTCCTAGAGGCTGGATAAACCCCAGGAGCCACCCGGTTTCGAACACCAACCGTAGCTGCAGGAGTCGCAGCTGGATTTGAAAGCGAGCCTCGCATCGACTGCGCTAACGTGACTACCACTGCCACACAGCATGGACGTTAAGAAGAAAAAAAATAACAGGAATAAAATTTTATTTATAAAAATATTCAGAGAAAGATACTGGAAACATCTTCGCCCACGCCAGTCACCTTGGTATTTTAAGAGGAAATTAACAAGCCGCCAGTCCTACAAGTGCAAGAGTGGAATTGACCAAAATAAAGAAATCTATGGTGACATTGGCTGTCTGTCTGGCACATTGTAAAGTGGAAAACGCGTTCACCTTTGGACGATTTTACTGTTTGTTTTGGTTTTTCTTCTTTTCAATTAGCCCAGACAAGCGTTGAAAGGCTGGCTATCGTTTTCATTTTAAAGTACCTGAAAGCTTGAACAATTCGGGAATAATATTATTGTATATCCGCCTTTGCCAGTCCAATGCCAGGATGAGAAAGAAGGAAGGAGGGTTGGAAAGATCGAAACAGAAAATACCCCCTAATGTGATTGTTCAGGACACTCGTAGTATAAAGTCGGGTAAAGGAGCTTTTTCCACGTCTTTAGGCGTACTGGGCATATAGGGCTAGATCTATATTTTATAGACCAATCGGCACTCGGTGGGTGATGTGGTCAACATCCCGCCGGCCGCCTTTACTTCTCAGGACTGTACTTGGTACCTATATAAAGCAGTGTCGACCTGGGAGCCAAGGTAATTTTGAAAAAAAAGTAACCGGCTCCTTCAGAACCTGAACCCCTGTCTTTCAAATTCGCAGGCAAGTGTCTAGCCGCTTCACCACGGCGGCTTCCCTCTTAGTATAGGTCGTATCCCAACTATAAGCCCTAATTAAGATGGTAAGCCAGACGGATGGATTCGTTTCGTCCGTTAAAACACCCTGTGTGAGCCCAGCTCTCTAGCGTAGTTGGCTAAACCGGATTGCGCGGTGACCGGGTGACGAACTCCTTGTGGTCCGGGTTCACTCCCGGGGGTAGGCAGAAAAGCCACATTTCTCCCAGATTTACGGTATTTACAATAGAATCAAGGCCGAGGGGTTGCGATATCCATAATACCGAGCCTAAGGGTTAACAACTCATGGCTTCTGGATAATAAAACAAGCAAACAAACACACTGTTGACTTACTGAGAATGCATAAATAAAGAATGTATAAGCCAAAAATCAATTGTAAGAAAATTCACATTATTGCTGTGAATAATTGCATGCATTTGTACCTACAAATTCAGATTTTTGTTACTGAATATTTTGTACATGAACGATTTTGTACATGAAAACAAAAAGGCATCCCATTTTTAAAAAATCTTTGGCGCCTTTTGGAGCATATAACTAAATAATTAAACAAAAAGACCCGGTCTTATTTTCGGGGCCACGTGGCAATAACACTGTTCCTACCAAGCATGTCGTAAAAGTGATTAAGGGTAGGGTTCGGCTACTATATCTCATTACATTTTTTAACTGTAAAAGCTAAGCAACAATTGACAAGTTTATAATGCCCTAAGGGGAGTTTATTAATTGGCTGTGAAACGGAAGGAAAAGAGACAGAAAAGGGACGGACAAAATACCAAAAAGGAATAATGTATGAGAAAGCCGCGATGACTAACACGCTTCTCTGAATGACCAGTGATCATGTGTTCGAATCTGTATTTGTTTCGTGGATCTAGTCTCTCCAGCTAACTTCCTGAAGTGGACACCTGGACATCGGGCAGTTTTACTGAATGGAACGGCGGCAGACAGGGTAATGACCTTATCATTCCTCAAGGGCCTGTTTGTCAAATATTTCTCAAATACAGTGTAGGACTAGCACTATGTCTAATTTATACTAATCCAAAGGGGGAAGGGTAAAGGGCAGAAAAGCATAGATATTCGATGATGCATTTTTATTAGCTGACTAGAAAACTCGTATGCCTAAAATATATTGATGACCCACGGTCAAAAGAACTGTCAATTGATTTGGTTGAACCCTACGGTATTCTTGGGTGCATTGTTAACAGTTACCTTAATTAAGTTACAAACACGGTGAATGTTAAAATTATGCTCCTGTCAGTAGATATGTGTTTTACAGTTGGGTTCTTTTTTGTTTAGCGACCACATCACGCTAAATTTAGGGAAATCTCATATTATTAGTGGGTTAGGGTTAGCAGGAGTCGCTATTCATTTAACACTAACCCTAACACCCCCACTCCCTTCCCCATAATATGGGATTTCCTTAAATCTAATATGGCCGCTAAATAGAACAGAACTGACAGTTGTATCTCTCCGGGCGTTGAAAGGTGTGTTGTCGTATCTTTCACGCTGTCAATAAAACTGTGCTGGTGTCCATGTTCTCTACTCAGTCCAAAGTCAGTGTCAAGAAGTCATCTGCAATAGAAACTGCCTCCGTTGCAGGGCCGTCTTAACGCATGGGCCCACTGGACACTTGACTGGGGGTCGCACAGGCTGAGGAGCCCAGTGCTCATTTATGAATGTCAGGTGACTTGCCATAAATACAGAACATATGTGAAAATTTAATAAACTAACTCTACGTAATTGTCAGGGACCTACTTTATTATACTTCCTATGGCTCGTTAGGTAGGCCAGCTAACAGATTTAACTACCCTTGAAACACACACCTACTTACACACTAAATCTTTAATGTACAAAGAACAATTCAACTTATAGCACCTCAACAGAGTTGGCCGTCCTTATCCGAAACGCCGGCGTTGAATAGCTTTTACATTCACTAAACAATCTGAGCTGTTCCCATGGATATACCAAAGGACACGATTTCAAACTCACTGTCGTACAGCATTGACTAAGCTGCCGTCTATGCCACGCAGGACTCAGTGACACACGTAGGGTGAATGGTCTATGTATGAGCGGGCAGTGTTAACGCCATCAACAATGCGTATCACACATTCACTGGCTGCTTAACAGATACTGCGTGGAACGTCTACTATACAAGAAACATTAACGCTACATTATCTCGTCAACACACTGCATTTAAACATAACTTTTCTTAAATACTAACCACAAATACTATTCGATCTAACCGTCGCTAAACTAAGATAAGTTTTACCCGTCGCCGTCCTACAACTGTCCAGTCCAGTCTCCTACTACCCAACTCCCCGAGCAAGCTCTGACGAAGCTTTTGTTTCTCTACACGGCCTCCAGCGTTCATCTTAGACACGCTGTAGCTAGTGTTACTAGTGGGAGCCTAGGGCTTAGCCCAGTTCAGTCGACACAGTTTATTCCATGGTCAAACTGCCTGATCTCGCTCTGAGTTTGACTGAGTTTTTATAAGGAGTAGAAAATTATAGGGAAGAGAAAAAGTTGGTAAGAAGCAACAATTAGTTTATGTTAGCTTTACAAAATCGATCACAATAAACAAACAAAGGACGTTGCGGCGATTAGCCTTCATCAGCACATAAAGGACAACACAGTACACATACACAAATAGGCTCTAACTATGAAGTGACTACATAGGACTCTAATGTATAGAATAAACGATACTCATCTAGTGTCCCTGGCGAAAAAACTCCGTTCAATGAAACGACGGTCAGCCTATATACCTCCAACGCGCAGGTAGGGGCAAAAAAAGGGACGGCTTGGACGCCAACAGCGTACACTGAGTGTCTAAGGAGGGAGGGGTTGGCCTATAGGGCGTAACCGGGGTCCATCCGCATGGAATAAAAGTGGTGCCTGTGCTTGCAAACAAATATCGACAGACAGACAGACAGACAGACAGACAGACAGACAGACAGACAGACAGACAGACAGACAGACAGACAGACAGACAGACAGACAGACAGACAGACAGACAGACAGACAGACAGACAGACAGACAGACAGACAGACAGACAGACAGACAGACAGACAGACAGACAGACAGACAGACAGACAGACAGACAGCTAGCTAGCTAGCTAGCTAGTAGCTAGCTAGCTAGCTAGCTAGCTAGCTATGTAGATAGATAGATAGATAGATAGATTTGTAGATAGATAGACTAGATAGAAGTAGATAGATAGATAGATAGATATGATAGATAGATAGATAGATAGATTAGATAGATAGATAATAGATAGATAGATAGATAGATAGATATATAGATAGATAGATAGATAGATAGATTTAGATAGATGATAGATAGATAGTAGATAGATAGATAGATAGATAGATAGATAGATAGAATAGATAGATAGATAGATAGATAGATAGATAGATAGATAGATAGATAGATAGATGGATAGATAGATAGATGGATAGATAGATAGATGGATAGATAGATAGATAGATAGATGGATAGATAGATAGATGGATAGATGGATAGATGGATAGATTGAGGGTCAACTCGTTCATACGTGATGATTCACTATCATCACACCTATTCATCCCGTAGCCGAACTGGCTTCTGACAGTAAAATAAAACAGTTATTATGCCCCAGCATATTCCCCCCCCCCCCCACCCCCCCCTTAGCTTAGTTTTTGTGGAAGTGCCAACAAAACAAATTTCTGTTTAATATTATCGACTATTTACATTTAATTCCTATAAGTGGTTATCGTAGGGGCCCCAGCACACTGGTTTGCCCAAGGCCCATCGTACTGTTAAAACGCATCTGCTCCGTTGTGTAGATAATAAAACGAAACAATGTTAATTTGTAGTAACTATGCAAGGATCCTCAAGGTTAATATGTATTGCTTCTCAATAATGTTAAAGGAGTTGCCCCTTTCTTTTAAATGTGT